TGTTGCATGCATGATATTTGGTGCCGTGGTATACAAAACATTTCAGTGTGATAGAAGACCCATTATAGAATATATTTTTCTGAAGAATCGCAAAACAGATTTTGAATATCTGGTGCGAATCCAATCTTGTCTAATTTAGAATTTTTCTTGAGGAAATGAATAAGGATCACTTTTTAGTTAGGCAAAATAGATTTCCAGATTATGGATGATGATCTTCTTTCAGTTTCATGGAAACCATTGACAAAGTTCCTGATAGCCACTATTATCTGTCAGATGCTATCACTATATGCTTCGATAGAAAAATAAAATGTACGAAGTGTTTTCTGATTTTTGACTTCTTGGTATTTTATTACTTTTGCATTAATTACAAAAACTATTTATTAATTATATGCCACATATTTGAGTGAGAAATCAATAAAGCATCGAACTATTATGACCTAAATATTCTTGACTTAATTTATTTCATTTTCAGAATCAAATGAGATTTTATTCAGAAAAAATATTCTACAATACAATTCATTTATCTTGTGTTTGTGTTTACCTAATATTTGTTTCCTTTTGCTTAATCATGGCTTCCATAAGAAGTCGATCTACTTGTAAACTAGTTGTCCTTTCGATTTCTATTATAGATTTTAAATTTGTACAAAATGGAACTTGGCAATTTCGATTCATGCAACTTTTAGCATGATGCCAACAAAGAAAAATAACTTGTTTACATTTATAACATTGACGATTTTTTTCTTTGCAATCTTTTGTATGTTGTATAATACGTTTATAACAAAGACAACCACGATAAATACAATTGACCATACAACAATTAAGTGCATGTAACAAAGCATCAATGCAAAATTGCATTGTTTTTTGTCGTTGGAATTGTGCATTTGTTAGAGATTTATTGTTACTATTTAATGAATTTTGTTCATTATCTTGGTTTATGATAACTCTTGATGATATTAAACATTCCATTTTATCTTCATGTTTTAGTCGCATATTATACAACTTTTCACATAAATCAAAATCTTCACATACTGTACAATAATAACATATATCACATTTTTGTAGGCATCTATTACAATTATATGGAATGTTTTTTGTTGTTGATATATGTAATTCATATAATAAAGCCATGGTTGAAAATTTTGCTCTACGTAATGAAGAAAATTCATAATTTTTATGACGTGCAAAATTTAGAAATGCATTTTGCGTATCCATTATATCACATTGAAGAAGAGCATCAGTATCGTTGATTGTTGGATAGGATATTGGTTGATGATGAAGACGAATAACAAAGAATTCCTAAAGAATCATATAGATACAAATTGTAATTATCAAAAATACATACTGCTAGGCAGTGTCTTACAAAACAAGGTATAGTACTAATAGGAATCTTTGATTACTTTTAGTTTAAAGTCAGAATGAACAAAATTTACCTTCAACAATTAAGTTTTTTTTTATGATTTTACCTCTTTGTTTTTTTCCATAGTTGAAAATATTATAGATAGTAAATCAGTAGAATTTAACATTTGAGCTTTTGCTAGTTCTTGTTGTTTTCCCGTTTTCTTTGAATTTTTCTTTTCATATTTATTTGCAAATTTACGTTTACTAGAAATCTAAATTAAAATAAAATAAAATAAACAAATAACGACTGATGCAAAATTCTTCGTAGAAATGTCGAGGCCTGTTTTTGAAAATAATTTTTGATGAAGTTAAGGTTTTCAAATTTCAAAAACCACTAAAAACGCTTTTGTAACTTTTTCATCCTTTTTTCGCACTTTTATAAATTTAAAATAACATTATTCTTGTCAAATTAATAGATACTGAGCTGAAAATTTCAATGACTCAAGTCTAAAGTATAGGCTTTTTGAAAATCTCACTCCGAAATTTGTGTTTATTCATGATAACCCACAATCAGGCTTTTAAGCGAAAGCACGGAAGCTTTTAGTTTTTGGCGTGCAATTCAGGTGTTTTTAGGACGAAAAAAGTTTTAAATTAGTCCAAAAAAATATTTTTTTTAAGGCCGTTCAGAATTCGTATGAAAAACTGAGAATGAACATTTTTATCTTCTAAAAGGAGCCAAACACTTCTAATGAATAAAATAGCGCTTTGACGTCAATTCCGTCATAACTAAATTCATTTATAACTTAACCAGCCTATCTTGGATCGAACGACGCTTTTTTGAATCGTAGCTACGGAGCTACTAAATTTTTGTAGAACAGCGGAAAACTGTGAAACTTACATAAATTTGTGTTATCGTAACATTTCCATAATTTCGTATAGTTACAAGTCGTTTTTTCTTGTGGTTTTTCAAAAGTTAAAATATAAAAACCTTAACTTCATCAAAAGATTTTTTCAAAAAGTCTCTCTAATGATGAGAGAATTGAACCCCTTGCACTTTCTGTTGAAATACAATAGACCGCGACATTTGTGCTAAGACTTTTTCATTAGTCATAAATTCATATGGTAGATAACATCAAGATTCTAATAGTAAATATTCAAATTCAACTAGATACATCGATTCATCAGATAGAATAATCTGTATGTTTATTTTTATAATTGAAAGTGCAATAGTCTGTTGAACTCGATATTCATTTTATTCGAATCATATGATTGTATGGATTTTAATTTTGGTTACTAAGTAGATTATACTTACTTGTGTTGAATCATCTAGTTCAAAAGAATCATTGAAGTCGTCATCTTGTATAACTGCTGCTGCTTCAACTTCTTGTCTTCTTCGATCTTCTTCTTGACTAAAATCTAAAATATAATTTAATAAGATTTAATTTTCATTCTCAATAATAAAACATACTTTCAATAGTTTCTTCAATTATAGTTGGCCACAAGTCACCATCAAAATATGGAATATCAAGAACTGTTTGGATTTGATTATCCAAACAATCTTGCATGATATCCTAAATTAATCACATTTGAGTCTTAAGTATTTTCGAGAGATTAATAACGATAATTCTTTATGTGCTCTCATTGTATATTTGGAAAAAACATCTTAGTCAGCATTTATGGGTGGATTACTTTTGTTTTTGAATTCTTACTTTCTTATGTGAAGATTTCTTATGCAATAATTAAATCAAACAAAAAAAAAATAGGCAATACAATTTTACATGTTGTTTAAGAAAAAAGAAATCAAGTTACTCTGATAGCTTCATTGAAAGAGAAACATTTTGTTTTTGGATCTAGATACATTCAATTAGAAAAAATTTCATATACACTTTTTCTACCTTATAATCAATAACAATATGTTTTATAATTGCTTTGTCAAGCAGCTTTTTACACCAACTATGTAAGCGTTTTGAATTGGGTAAACGTTGTTCAAGTGGATGACAATGAAATATATAATCAACAAATACACTTGTTGGACGAGCCCACATATGAGCATAGATATAGCCATGTTGTTTGGCATAATTCAAATAACCAATTAAAATTTCATGATAAACATCTTGACGATAAAGTTTCGGTTGAAAAAAATGTATTGTATCCAAACAAGATATATAAACACGATTTGTATTTGGCGCAGGACAATGTTCATCATATTCTTGTACATACATACCAAAGAAAACAACATCAATACCTTCAATTTCTTGAAAAGCAAATATNAGACAAAGATTAGAGTATCGACCATTTTTATCGAGGAATATTTCGCGAAGAAATAATGCGCTTTCAAGGAAAACTTTCATAGTAATCAAAGAACATTAAAACTGATTTATGTATCAGCAAAATTTCCGATTAAGTCTGCATCTTATAATCTTGAACCAGTAGGTTTCTGCCAAATAGAAAATTGACTAAAAAGATCGATTATTATTTCAAAAACATAGAGAGGATATAACTTCATTGAGTACTACATTAATTAGAAGCTGCTCAATTAATGCTTCTTATAGTTTTCAGTCTAATCTCATAAATCCGTTCGATCCTATCAAACGCTTCTATCTTTGGTACAAGAATTTTGCCGAATTACAAAACCTCATCTCCAAGACTAGCTCTACTAATTATTTATGTGATTACATAGTAATTAAATATTTAAAAAGAATCTTTTTCCTTGTTCCTTATAAGCATCTGTTTATTTTTTGGAGATTAATCAACAAGAGTAACAGTGTCACGAAAACGTTTTTTCAACTGTACAAACACTTCGGCTAATCTTAAGTTTTTCTCTGTAAACAAACACAAAAGCAAAAAACATTACAAATAAAATAGTATAATAAAAAAATTAATTTTACATAACGAACTTCACCAACAAGTGGTTGTTCAATTGCATAAACTTTGGCTTCAGGTGTTCCAAGCATTGTTCGAGACTTTTGCTTTACCCATTGCTTCATTTTCTTCAAGGTTTTTCACATAATTCTCGATTGTGTTCTTCAAGATTAGTATGTAGAGTCTAGAAAACAAAGTAATAATTACTGTGAGAAAACTTGTAACTATGTATTGGAAGTAACGTAGAGCGTAACAATGAACTCTCCCAAGCAAAATCAAACACTAAAATTCTATTCGAATTCTTATAACTCTGAAGAGAAGGCTCAAAAACATTTATCCTTGTGAGATATTTTATATCTCACTAGACTCTATTTTATGCGCTGAGTCCAATTGCAAAAGGAATTTATCAGTTGAAAATCTTTCCTTGTTCGTTCATCTATGAAATATGATGTAGAACGTATTCGGATAGAGAACCTCATGGATTGTTCAAATCAAATCACTATTTGAATTTTAGATAAATATATTGTATAGTTGGAACAAATGAAAATATACTATTCTCTTATAATTTTGTTGATTACTGTATTTTAATTTATCATTAAATTTTTCTTTTCGTTTTTTAAATTCATCAAAAATAAGAACGTGATATTGGTCTTCTTGAAGGTGAAATCGTAGAACTTCATGAATCTTTACACGATCTTATGTAATAGATTCATGATTTACAAGTTCATTTAGCACGATATAAAGTAGAAATAATACAATCTATTACAAATATTGAAAATGAATCTGCAACAAAAATAATGTTTCTACGTCAAATACGTAAACATTTAGAACGTGAATTAATAGAAGAAAATGAATCATTACGTAATGAATTATTTCATCGTACAGATATAAATGAAGTTATGTTAGAACGTGGAAAACAATGTGAAGAAGTTTTAATATAAAAATATTCATCATTAGAACAAGTACATGAAGAATGTAAATCAATTATTAGTGAATAATATTTAAAATATACAAAATAAACTGAAGATTTAACAAATCCATTTGAAAATACAAAACAAAAATAAAACAATATCCAGTGTTAGTCAAAGATCGTCAACAACAACAACAACAATCTGATTTACCGGATCATAATAATGAAATTAAATATATTTGAATATACAAAAACAAGATAATGAAGGTAAATATCGATAATTAGAAACTGATATAGAAGAGCTTCAACATAGATTTAATGAAATCGAACGCTTAAAAACATGAAACTCTTGATAAATAACAATGTTATCAACAAGTAATTGAAACTATAAATGAAACATTTATTGAAAACGAACAATGTGCATAAAATCAACAACGTACAATAACAATGTTAAGACAAAAATGAATACATTAATTAAAGCTCATCAAAAAAAAAATTTATTTAATGAATTAAATGATCAAGTAGATAATAAAGAAGAAGAGAGTTATAAAATTAAAAGTAAACTTACGCAATTAACAGAATAAAATAACGAATTATGCCGTCAATTTTAACATGAAAGAGAAACTATCCTTAAACAATTAGATGTTGAAAAATTATTAACTACAAAATCAATCAAATCAAATAAAAAAATTTCTAATAATATTCCTCATATAATTGTTGAATTAGAATATTACCGTAGAAATCTACGAAATGTTGAAAAACAACAACGTCCATTTGATAAATGTATACAAGATAAAACAAACATTTTCCAAGATAAATTATGACTAGAATATGATTATAAAATGAATGTGAAATACGTGAAAAAAAATACAACGTTTAAATTTTATTACGAGATTTAAAAGGAAGAAAATTAGCATAAGATGATATGATGTCAACCAAAGATGATATTGGAACAAATATTCATGAATTAGAAACATCTAAACGAATATTTGATTAGAGTGATTTCGTATTTTTAAGAATGTTATTTTCTGCTTCACTGTTTTTTGAGAGAAGATCCAAAATACCCGAGGACATTGAAATTTTATTGATCAATAATGGACTAATAAGGTTATTTTCGCAAACGATATTTGTCTTTTGCCTTTTGACAGTTATAAGAGTTGATTTGAGACTGTCAGTTTTCGTGTATTGAATCTAGTGGGAGGGCCACGGGATGGGAGCTCAGCGCCTTATGAACTTTTGAGGCTCCCTTACGAGATTTTCGGAAGATGTATTGTATTTGCAAGAGAATTTTAGTCTCTTCTAGACTAGAATGCTGACTCCACCACTGATATTGACTTGCGATGAGACGAAGGAGCACATAAGACTAATTTGCCATGTCGAGTCGAATGATGATATTCGGCTTTTTGATTCGAACTGATTTGCCTTTATCTCAATATTTCTTAGCATCCTTATAAACATGTTGCAAATATTAAGATAACATAGCTAAATCAGCTCGAATCCAAAACAAACGAATGCTACTATTTGAAATCAACATGGTGAATTACTCTTGAACTCTTCTGGACGATTGGAATCCGATATTTCAGGGCAAGTCTTTTAAATCTTGAACAGAATCCCTCTTGGATGTTGAAGCTGCAAATAGTTTAAAAAAAAACAAGAAAATCATAATTTCAATTTTTATGTCGCACATGGTGTTGCATATTAGACAATCTTTTCGGAAATTTTAATCAGAAGTAGGATCTGACCTGTCGAGTTTAGGTATCGCAAAATTATATCCACGCCCATGCCCAAAGAAAACAAAACCTATATGCTATGACAGAAAAACTAAATGTGCAAATAGTGTTTTCCAACTTTTGTCTTCTTGCTATTTTTATGCTTTTGAACAAATTACAATTATTTATTGATTATATGTTACATATTTGAGCGAGAAGAACAAATCAAATAAATTATGTGCTGAATTAGAGTGTTAAGTCATCCTGTATACTTTTTACCGTTGCATAATCATATTAGTTATTAAAATAAATAAAACATCAGACAATTATGACGTGAATATTCTTGACTTATTTTATTTGTTTAACTATCAAAATCAAATTTGCATAAATATAATCAATAGAGAACAAAATAAATTTTATTCAGATATATGATTCTATAAAACAAGTCATTTATCTTGTGTTTGTGTTTGCATTATATTTTTTTCTTGTGACATCATCATAGCTTCCATATAACGTCGATCTGCTTGTAAACAAGTTGTTCGTTGTTTTTCTATTTCAGATTTCAAATCAGCACAACATGGCACTTGACAATTTTGATCCATACAACTTTTAGCATGGTACCGATAAAGAAAAATAACTTGTTTGCATATATTACATTGACGATTTTTTTCTTTGCAATCTTTAGTATGTTGTATAATAGGTTTATAATGAAGACAGCTACGATTAACACAGTTAATCGTACAACAATTAAGTGCATGTAACAAAGCTTCAATACAACGTTGCATTGATTGTTTTCGTTGTAATTGTGTACTTACTAAAGATTTATCATTCCTATTTAATAAATTTTGTTCATCATTTTGTTTCATGTCAGGTGTTGATGATACTGAACATTCCATGTTATGTTCATGTTTTGGCTCAATATTACAAGATTTTTCACATAGATCAAAATCTTCACATACTGTACAATAATAATAAATATCACATTGTTGTTGGCATCTATTATAATTATATGTAAATTTCTCTGTTGTTGTTATATGTAATTCATATAATAAAGCCATAGTTGAAAATTTTGCACTACGTAATGAAGAAAATTCATAATTTTTCTCACGAGCAAAATTTAAAAATGCAGCTTGCGTATCCATTAGTTCACATTGGATTAGAGGATCAGTATCATTGACTGTTGGATAGGATGTTATTTGATTATGAAGACGAATAACAAAGAATGCCTAAAGAATTAAAAAGGTGCAAGTTGTAAGTATTAACATTTGTTGATAAGAGAGAGCAATCAAATTCAGTTTAATTCTTTTTTTGGGAGAGGGGGAGTAGTTATAGTTAGTTAGCGTAAATCGGAAGCTGAAGAACTTTTGTATCTAGACGATCTTCTGCCCAGAGCTACAGCTAGTATGAAGTAAAAGATTGAGCTAACATATCTACTACTAGACACTATCTCATAAAGCGAGGTATGGATATTCTTCATCTTCTTTTTCCAAATTTGTTTGACAAACATAGCTATGAAGTTTGGTGTTTGTTGCCACTTCATTAGTAGTAATATAAATCCTTGTTTACTTTCAAATTAAGTTCAGAATAGATAAAATCCACCTTTAACAATGTGTTTTTGTTTTTATAACTTACTTCTTTGTATTTTGCCATAGTTGAAAATATTATAGATAGTAAATCAGTACAATTTGACATTTGATTTTTTGCTAGTTCTCGTTGATTTGCCGTTTTCTTGAAATTTTTCTTTCCATATGTATTTGCAGATTTACGTTTACCAGAAATCTAAATTAAAATTAAATTAAAAAAAAACATTCATACTGTAGATAAAATCAAAATTTGAATAGTGACTATGAAAGTTCGACTAGAGAAATAAATGCATCCGATAGAAAAAAAAACATTCATATCACTAAACAATTTTAATCTATACGCTTTTTTTCACAATCGAAACTGCGGCTACTAAATAGATTATATAATTTCTACTTACTTCTGTTGGATCTTCTGGTTCAATGAAATCATCGAAATCTTCATCTTCCGTAGCTTGTGCTGTTCCAACTTCTTGTTTTCTTCGGTCTTCTTGGTCAAGTTCTAAGATATAATTAAATAAAATTCGATTTTTATTATCAATAATAAAACATACTGTCAATACTTTCTTCAATAGTAATCGGCCAAAATTCATTATCGAAATATGGAATTTCAAGAACTGTTTGTACTTGATTATCCAAACAATCTTTCATAATATCCTAAATTAATAACATTCGTATAAAAGTATCAATAAACATATTCATGAAAAGATTTTTCGATATTTTTGAATTTTAAACTTTTTTTGGAAAATAAATAAGAGTCGAAAATAGTTTATTTGACAATCTTTAATTCTTCGTAGACTCTCATTTTGTACATTTTTTATTATAATGTGCATCTTAGACATCATCGCCTGGTCGAGTCATTTTTTTCTAAATTCTTACTTTTTATGCGAAGAAATTGAACGACAAGTTCAATGCCATGAAAAACGGTTATCTATTTATCGCGATACTCTCTTAGGTAATAATTAATTCAAAAAGTAGACACTGCAATTTTACATGTTGTTTGAAACAAAACAAAATGAAGTTTCTTCGAAAATACTCGGATGTCTTCTGATAGCTTCATTGAAGTAGAAATACCTTTTTTTAACTCAATGCATTTTCAATAAACAAATATCTTATATACAGTTTTTACCTTATAGTCAATAACAACACGATCTATAATTGCTTTATCAAGCATCTTTCTACACCAATCCTGTAGACGTTTTAGCTTCGGCAAAAGTTGTTCAGGTGGACGACAACGAAATATATAATCAACACCTTCAGTTGCTGGACAAGCCCATATATGAGCATACATATATCCATGTTGTTTAGCATAATCCAAATAACCGATTAAAATTTCATGATAAACATCTTGACGATAAAGTTTCGGTCGAAAAAAATATACTGTATCCAAATATGATATATAAACGCGACGTGTATTTGGTGCAGGACAACGTTCATCATATTCTTGTACATACATACCAAAGAAAACAACATCAACACCTTCAATTTCTTGAAAAGCAAATATAGCTTTTGTTCGATACGGATAACCATTATCTGCTACTTGATTTGGATAATACTTTTTTAATTGTGGTTTTATTTCACATATTTTATCACTAGAAGATAATACACGAATTGTAACATGACTTTCATGACAATCTTTATCAAGTAAAAATTTATTAACACGTTCTTCTAATCGTGATGATAAATCAGTTACTGTTAATTTTTGTGCTATATAACGATTTTCTTTACGTTTTATATTATATTCACGTATACATGTATTACATATAAAACCTTCAGGCCATATTTGATCTAAATGTAATGCACATACTTGATGCCAACGACGTGTACAAACAATACAATCAATCATTATTTCAGGTTCTTGTATATCATTTTTAGCCGGTAGAAATAATGTTTTTGGTATTTCAACTAATGTTTGAGTTCGATCATCACCGACCAATATTGATTCACTTTTAATTGAATGAAAACAATTAGCACAAAATGTATATTCACCACTCGATAGATTAAATCGCGATGGTTCAGGATTGCTATAATAATAATAATACCCATAAGGTGGGATTTCACAACATGGTTGCTTTCCATAACATAACATCATTTTTGGTAAATATGCATATTGACGACAACAACAATAACCTAATTCTTGTACAACAGGATTAATAGATTCAACAAATAGTTTCGCAAGTTCTGTACACATTTTATAGACACGCAATGCTCTATTATTATAAAGCCATGCATTATTAAACATAAGCCATGCATCATCACAGAACTGCAATGGATTTTTATATTCTCCACGTAATAATTTAGTATGCATGGTTGATATATCCATTGGATGTTTAATTATTGTTGGATAATCAGGTATATTAAATGCAACAGGATTGACCGGTTGACGAAAGAAAAGTGAATTTTCCGAAGCGATCATTTTGTGAATAATTGGTTCAAGATATGTACGTAAATCCTCAGCTGTAAATTGTACAGGATGTTTAAGTAATTTTTTACTTGATGCAACAATTTGTCCTGTTGTTGTTGCTTTCATATCATCGTTAGTCGACGATTGTGAATGAGATTCCATCATCACTGTTATTGATGATGAATTTGTTGGAAAATAAGAATTATCTTGTGTTGTTTTGTTTTTGATCATTAGAAACCTAGAAGTCTAAATTAAAAGACATTCATAATAAATTATTAGAATTTAATTGTATAAATGTGATATTACAGGGTAAGTGTGGATGAATATAAGACTCATACTTGTTAAGTAGTAATAACAACTGTTTGTCTTTCCGTTCTGTTCATATATGTATCTTCTCTTTTTGTCATACACATAGATCACTTTCTTCTTTCTGTTCTATAGCTAGGTATTTTCCTATTTTCACATTCGTTTGGTATTTACTAATGTTAGCGCTCACTAGGATTTTACTTATATCGTATGTGGATATTTCCAACATGTCGTGTTATTCATCATCACATACATAGTTGTGATTCTCTGATAATAAACGAAAAAGATACTGAGTGATAGTGTGAAATCATCTTTCGTCTATTGCATATTGAACTCGGGAAAATTCCAAACTTTACATACTCCCTTCGAGTTAATTCAACTACGATAGTATTTCAACTACAACTTGATAAGCTCTGTCCGCTGATGTAAATCTCATCTCAATCGCATGCTCTCCTATCGTGGCAGCAGCAATTCATTGATCCACAAAATACTGCACTACTTAGATGACTAGAATCAGTGAATTAAAGGTTTCATGAAAAAATGATGCTATTAAAATGTGTTTTCAGCGTTTACCGAAATGTACTCAGATCATGAACAGTTGTATTGAAGTATGATTTCATGTGAATCGGGCCTAAAACACAGCTGGAATTTGCACTCAAGACAATCTATGTAATTTAAACATGGTTCACTTTCATGTGCACTTATCATGTTTGTGTTTTTCTAATAATTGTCCAGCTTAGGCGCTGGTAAGCGTATGACATACAGTCTGATTTGTTGCTAACATACAAATCAGCAAGGCACTCTAAAAAATCCAGCTATTTGAAGCAGTTTCTGATTGGACTCTATACATTTAATTTAGAGACTTCAAGTCTCCATTTGATAACTGATTTTAGACATTAATGGATATGTCGACAAGTGGAAATTAAAAAGAATATTTATCATCAGGAAGTTCTTGAAAAACATTGAAGTTCAAAATCAAATAAGCATCTAAAGTATATCTAATTCTCAATTGTACGTCGGGTTCAATCTCCTTTTTTGAGCCTAACTTAAGTTTCCTTTTTCATGATATCTTACTTCGAGTTGTTTGTTTTTTAGAAAATTTTGCTCTTTGAAATGTGCTTTGACAAAGCTAATATCGACGATTTTAATATAATCTAGAAAAGCAAAATAAATATAAAATATTGTAGTAAGAATGAACGAAAAAGCAAATTCTTTAGTTTCATTTATATATTTATAAAACCATTTCAGACATCATACAATAAGGAAAAAAAACTTAGTATAATTAGAGTTACACACAATTATATGGTTCAATTTTTAGCTTTTACAATTTTCAACTCGCATTACCAGTAATTTTCGAGTAGGCCAGTTGTTGCGAGCTCAGCGAATGTCATTATATAGCAGAGGGTAACTATGCATCAGTCAACAAAAACAAAGAAACAGCAGTCCGTAATAGAACAATGAACAAAAGGTTACAAGGTCAATTCGCGAACACAAGAATATAGTGAAAAGGATAGTGTGCATGAAGTGTGCACTGTAGCGGTAAAGATCGTTACACCAATAGTTAAGATTCATGTACACGATAACAAGAAGTGCCAACATCTTATTCCTAAAAAAAAAACAAATTTCTCTTCCAGGAGAAATTGCAACAATAATCTTAATAAGACGTAACATACAAAAATCCGTATATTTCTGGACTATAAATATGATTTTCTAGATCATAAAGAGAAAAGACGGATAATTACCAAGTGAGGGCTCATGTAGTCCGAAATATGAAAATAACACGTTACAACAATTCGTTCTTTTATCGTACTCAATGCATTGTGCACCATCAAAAACGTCTGGAAAATCGCGTTTTAACGAAGTCCTTTGTTCTTATATTTCAACTTCATTATAAAAGTATTTAGAAAAAATATTTCAATACATTAAAATTAGTGATGAATAGATATAACTCGCATTGTCTTAATGTTACAAACAATAGCAAAATGTAATGTTTACCAATAAATAACAGAAACCAGGTAATATAGATTCGTAGAAAGTCAGGCGTTATACAATAGGCGTGGTTTTATTTCTTTTCAAAGAACAAATTCATTTGCTATATAAATATAAATAATCAAGTAATAGCTTTGTGGTGAAATCTTTTTTTAACGTTTTATTTTATCTTCCAAATAATGAAATAAATCATTTTACAAGAAAAGATAACTCCAGAGTTGAGGATCTCATCCATTCTAAATTCAAAGTGTTCGATCTTGCTTTTTCATTATTTGAAAGATATAATAAAATGTTACCGAAATTTCTATAGAAAGTTGTTACTCGATTGTTTACATTTACATAGCCATGAATCTATTCTCTTGAAAGAGAAATGAAACTACACTACTGTTACATGCTCTTTAACACGTGACTTTCTTCGTATCGATGTTTCTTAGTATCTCTTATTTATTAGTAAATAGTGCATTTTACTGTTGTTTGCAAGGGTGTGGATGTAAATAAAGAGAATCTCCAAACCCTCACCCAAAATCAAATAGCAAAGAAAAGACAACGTGCCCATTTCACCATTGTAGGATTAAAACAGTCTACGTTTATCATTGGATAATGAGATAAATCTCATATGTAGTACGTGCACACGCATAAATCATCTGCAATTAACATTATGCTGAAAACAGGGTGTGGGTGTGGGTGTGAGTGTATTGAATTTCTTCATCTGCACCCATACGCACTCCCACGCCCACACCCACACCCCATCCACACACCCACACCCCATGCACACACCCACCGACACCCCATCCACACACCCACACACCCACCGACACCCCATCCACACACCCACACACCCACCGACACCCCATGCACACACCCACATACCCACCGACACCCCATCCACACACCCACACACCCACACCTAACTTAGAAATTGAACTATCTATTTTGTGGTATATTATTTATGTGTGTTGCTTTATGTCTTGTACGTTCAAAGAAATATATGTTTAAAATGTAGTCATTTTTTTAAATGTTACCTTGTTGTGCATGCTTTAATAAATCAAATATGTCTGAATTTCAACCAATAGTGTTTGATAGTGAACAACCATCAGAAATATTCTTCAAAAGATTTACAATGTTGCATGCATCTGAACCGCTTGAGTGTGGTAGCGTTACAGGCGGTGGAAATGATGAGTTAAAACCTGATAGAGGTAAATCAATGAAACGACTTAAATTCGTTTGACAGGGATTCGCATTATCATAATAATATGGATCAAATGTAAATTGATGCTTGACAACTGTGTTGTTATATGCAGAGATATGTTGACTGTTACAGATTGAAATCAATGATATCGAATTATTTATTGCTATATAGTTCTCCCTAATTGATACATTGGCTGCATTGTTACCTTGAATCAAACCTTGACCGTAGACTCCAAATAGAAATGTTGATGACTCTACAATAACGTCGGAGAAAACTGGAACTAATTGACGCGGAAGTGGTGCAAAAGAAATGACCCCTTTTTGTTTTGCAATTCCTTGATTGCAACTGATATAAATGTTCCGACTGAGTGTCACATTTTGTGCCGCAACACTTTCATACCAATACATTGATGGCTCAAACAGCACAGCTGGTCCACTTGTTCTATTAAATAATGAATCTGTTATCTGTATATTTCGTGTTTTTAATAGAACACCACGTGCTCGATTGTTGGCCACAGTTAAATTCCTAATCGTCAATGTTGGTGTGTCAGCAACAGAAGCCCAGTCTCCAACACTCACATTGATGGGACTAGTGAATGTGAAGAGTCGTGAAGTTGGACTATAGATTGAAGATGACGCTACTGTTGCTGTTGCATAGACTGTGAATTGTTGTTGACTGCTGCTAAATTCTAGACGTGTGCCAAGTCCAACATTAAGTACATCAAACCAATTAAACTCTTCAAAGACCAATGCAGTTGAATTAATGATTTCTGCTACAATGAAATAAAATCCATGGACATTCAATCCATCATCACCTTGAGCTTCACATTTACTATCGATTATATTTATATAATCTCTACTGTCTGCAAAGTGCATACAATCTACTATTGTACTCATCCAACGTCCATCGCGTGGTATTACATGAAAGTCAATTATATTTAGACGTTTTGCCCGTAGTGTAACTACCCCCATACACCATGCTGTATAGATTCTTATCGACTGGACAGTGAAATCAGTTACATCTTGAGCATCAATAGCATGGCGGTCAAACGTATAACGAGCGACAATGGGATCTCCCGCAACAAATATTGACGAAGATGCCAAAGGGATGCGTAATATACCTGGTGAAACTAAACTAGTGTTCGCATTCGAAGGTGGTGTCTGATAGATTTCATATGCATTTGGGCTAAAGGCTGGTCGCATTTCAATTGGATCATATTGAAGAATTGCGCGCACTTGTCGACCAATATCAGCTTTGTGTGGTGGTACTACTTGGACATCGAGATAGCTCGTACTCACATTCACTACATATCCAGCAGTAAATGGAAGTGGATCGAAATCAATGGCTAATGAAGTGATAGTTAGTCCTTGACAATGAAAAGGTTTGAATATCGCCGCCGGAGAATTTCCAAGTAAAAGTGTTTGTTGCATTCCTTGTCCCATCACTGTCAAATTGCTGGCGGAGTCTATTATGATAGCTGATGTGAAATTATAGGTACCAGATTGAAATACAACAGTATTATTTGATCCATTCGCAATAGCCATTTTGATAGTTAACTGAACGGCGTGTGTATCATCAATTTGATCGTTTGGATAGGCACCATAAGTAGAGACAGAAAACGTTGCTCCTCCAATGTACGACCATTGAATCGATACAATTAGAACGACCAACCATTCGAAGATAAACTTCATGCTTATTGATCACACTTGTCACTTAAAAGATGTTCCTGATTCTGTGAAAAAGAAGGCGCTGAAATAAAGTAGACTTTTTTTAAGAATAGAAAATTCAAATCGTATCATCGGGAATACGACAACGATTTTGTAATATTCATCTGTTAACCTTGCAGAAAATTTCATTTGATTCTGTGAATGTAAAACTCCTTACAGCTCTTCCGAATCGCATTTCGTATCAATTTGGCACCCTTCATAGCTTTATTTCGTCAGACATTTTCCTGTCACTTGTTTATGATGTATCTGTTCCCGCTCTTGCAGTCAGTTACCTGCTCTCTAGCCGGGCTCATTTAGCCCGTCTCAACCTTGTTTCTCGCGCTCCCTTCTCCGAAAATTACACCCTCACTCTCATTCTTACTTTGACCGGCATTATTAAACCTAAAAACATTAGTATTCGCAGCTGTTCCAAGTCTCAAAGATAAAACCGAAGTATATAATGTTGTCTTTTTCCGTTCTGTTTTGTCGATTAATGAAATTTAACTGGCATGTTTCTTTGTTCTCATCTGCAAGTTTTTAAGCAGTGTTGATAGCCTTTCATATTCGACGCATTTTATTTCCTATCTTTTTCTTAATAGACAAGATGAGCAAATCAGAGGTTTCTCAAATAGTTTTCTTATTAAATAAGCAGTGATGTCTATTCAATTTCGATAGTTTTAAAATGAATCTAAACTAGTTTTTACAGCAGAGAAGAGGCGATAATTCATACACATGTAAGTATGTGCTCAGCAAAAATACAAAAGACTTGTCAACGTATTTGGAACATTCATTTATTGTTGCAATACATTTGCAGTATATTGGAAAATATTTTATTCTTTGTATTCATTGGTCCAATAGTGAGTGGCTTCTCAAAAAGAAAAAAATAATAATAGCTCAAACCGCGATCAACTATATATATACTTTTTTGATTTAACTTGAAGTTAAGGATGCGTTATATGAATAAATTACCACGACGTGTTTCGATTCAGGTACAAATCTAATCAGGTCTGTAACGTAGAGAAAATCTGCTACAACCGGTTTCGTCCTTCACTAACCATCTCAGCGATTGTTTTGTTTCTGGATGAAGGTGAGAGTGAGGGTAAGTTGCTTCTATTCATCCTTCCTATCACCTTCACCTCATCCTTCGACTAAAGTTACGGATATATCCGTTAAAGCTAATGATACCATCAAGAGAAAAACAAAAAAAACTTGAATTTTTTATAGGCCTTTCGAAGTCTTTGAAAGTTNGTAAGCACTTTTTTTTCATAAATGAAATAGTATTGAATACAATCAGTAGATTGCCATTATTGATAAAACTAGTCATTGGGTGCAGTTTATTAAAACAACTGGTTGTCAGAAGTACTTCTCAAAAAAGAACTCATACTTTAACTGGTTCATAAGAAACGAACTCGTTACTGACACAAGCTTAACGAGAGCATCGCTGTGAATGACAAAAACGGCGAAATGAAGACCAACACTGACATCCACATAGTAATCCTGCAAAAATAGCTCAGGCAGTTTTATTCCTCTGAAATTTGAACTCGTCAAAAATTCTGTTGAAATCGAGATTATGAAGTGCCAAAATCTAAAACCATAAAAAGCCATAAGTAACCCTATGTTCTGATAGTTGTATTTTTGTTTGACATATTAAGGGTATGGATATAAACAAAAACAGTACATCCACATCCGCGCCGCAGTGACTGTATGTGTATTTTCCTGTCCCGACACCTATACTCGGTCCACTCCTGTGTGTGTCATCTGCCGCAGAATTGAATGCGTGAGTACTTCAATAATTGAATAGCTGAATTCAAGTTTCAAGTTTGACATATATGGAATACGCTTGGCTTATTTTATTTGTTTAACTTTCAAAATCAAATTTAAATATAATCAATATAGAACAAACGAAATTTTATCCAGAAGTAAAATTCTCTAAATCAAGCCATTGATCTTGTGTTTTTGTGTTTGCATGATATTTGTTTGTTGTTGCGCAAAAACTAGTTGCTCTCAAATTCATACAAAATGGAACTTGCCAATTTTGATCTATACAACTTTTAGCATGGTACCAAAAAAGAAAACTAACTTGTGTGCATACATTACATTAACGATTTTTTTTTCGATACAAATTTTTGTATATTGTATAGCACGTTTATAACGAAAACATCTATAATTAACACAATTAACCGTATAACAACTAACAGCATGTAGCAAAGTTTCAAAAAAATGTTACGTTGATTGTTGTCATTATAAAAGTGTACTTGCAATTGATTTATCATTACTATTTAATAAATTTTGTTCATTATCTTGGCTCATATCAACCGTTAATAATACTGAACATTCCATTTTATGTTCATATTTTGGTTCAACATTATAACATTTTTTACATAGATCAAAATCGTCACATACTGTACAATAATAACGAATATCAAACTATTGTTGGCATCTATTGCAATTATATGTAAACATGTCTGTGAATGATGTATGTAATTCAAATAATAAAGCCATGGTTGAAAATTTCGCACGACGTAATGAAGAAAATTCATAATTTTTATCACCTGCAAAATTTAAAAACACTTCTCGAGTATCCATTAGGTCACACTGAATTAGAGAATCAGGATCATTGATAACTGGATAGGCTGTTGTTTGATTATGAAGACGAATAACAAAAATAAACTAAAGAGATAAATGGATGTAAGTTGTAAATATCAAAATTCTTGGAAAAGAAAGGGCGATCAAGTTCAGTTTAATAAGTCTTATGGATTTATATTAGACGATTATCTTTTTTTCTCGACATTAAACTATTCTGTACCGTGATTATGGTGTTAAACGTTTCCTTTTGAGGGGAGGGGAATGAAATAGTTAATGTATATCAGAAGATAAAGAATTCTTGTATCTGAACAGCCTTCGTATGGATACTCTTCCTTTCTCCCACATTTGTATAATAGGTTTAGCTATGAAGTTCAGTGTTTGTTGCCACTTTATTAGTAGTCATATAGATTCTAAATTACTTCCAGATTAAATTCATAATGGACAAAATCCATCTTTAACAATTTGTTTTCTTTATAATTTACTTCTTTGCGTTTTTCCATAGTTGAAAATATTATAGATAATAAATCAGTACAATTTGACATTTGATTTGCCATTTTCTTCAAAAGTTTCTTTTCATATGTATTTGCAGATTTACGTTTACCAGAAATCTATATTAAAATAAAATAAAAAGTAAATATTCATATTATAGATAAAATCAAGATTTGAACAGCGACTGTTAAAATTCGACTAGAGCGATAAATTCATCCGATGGAATAAAACATTTTTCATTCTACTCATATGATCACATGAATTTATCATTAATTGGATTTTAATTTTGGCTACTGAATAGATTATACAATTTCTACTGACTTCTGTTGGATCTTCTTGATTAAGTTCTAAAATATAATCAAATAAAATTCGATTTTTATTATCAATAACAAAAAACATACTTTCAATACTATCTTCAATAATAATCGGCCACAAATCATCATCAAAATATGGAATGTCAAGAACTGTATATACTTGATTATCCAAGCAATCTTGCATAATATTCTAAATTCATCTAATTAAAATAAAATATCAATAAACGCTTTCGGAAGATAAGTGAGCATAGTTCTTCGTGGGCTCTCCCTTTTTATACATTTTTATTTGAAAACGCATCTTAGTCAGCATTCGTGGAAGAATCACTTTTTTTTCTGAATTCTTGGTTTTTATGCCAAGAATCGAATAACAAGTTCAATAACATGAAAAACAGTTATCTATTTATCATGATACTTTCTTATGTAATAATTAACTCAAAAAAATGGACACTTTTTTTACCTTATAATCAATAGCAATATGTTCTGCAATTGCTCTATCAAGCATCTTTCTACACCAGTCGCGTAGATGCTTTAGCTTTGGTAAACGTTGTTCAGGTGGATGACAATGAAATATATAATCAAAATCTTCACGTGTTGGACAAGCCCATAAATGAGCATACATATATCCATGTTGTTTAGCATAATCCAAATAACCAATTAAAATTTCATGATAAACATCTTGACGATAAAGTTTTGGTCGAAAAAAATGGACTGTATCCAGATACGATATATAAACACGATGTGTATTTGGTGCTGGACAACGTTCATCATATTCTTGTACATAGATACCAAAGAAAACAATATCAACACCTTCGATTTCTTGAAAAGCAAATATAGCTTTTTTACGATATGGATAGCCATCTACTACTTGATTTCGATAAAAAATTTTTAATTGAGATTTTACTTTACATATTTTATCACAAGAAGCTAATACACGAATTGTAACGCGACCCTCATGACAATCTTTATCAAATAGAAATTTATTAACACGTTCTTCTAATCGTGATGATAAATCAGTTACTGTTAATTGTTGTGCTATATAACGATTTTCTTTACGCTTTATATTATATTCACGTATACATGTATTACATATAAAACCTTCAGGCCATATTTGATCTAAACGTAATGCACATATTTGATGCCAACGACGTGTACAAATAATACAATCAATCATTATTTCAGGTTCTTGTATATCATTTTTAGCCAATAGAAATAATTTTTTTGGTATTTCAACTAATGCTTGAGTTGGATCATCACCGACAAATATTGATTCACTTTCAATTGAATTAAAACATTTAACACATAATGTGTATTTACCACTTGATAGATTAAATCGTGATGGCTCAGAATTGCTATAATAATAATAATAACCATAAGATGGGATTTCTCAAACATTGCTGCTTTCCATAACATAGCATAAGTTTTGGTAAATATGCATATTGACGACCACAACAATAACCTAATTCTTGTACAACACGATCAATAGATTCAACAAACAGTTTTGCAAGTTTTGTACACATTTTATAGACACACAATGGTTTATTATTATAAAGTCATGCATCATCACAGAATTGTAATGAATTTTTATATTCTCCACGTAATAATTTATTATGCATGGTTGATATATTCATTGGATGCTTAATTATTGTTGGATAATCGAGTATATTAAGTGCAACAGGATCGACCGCTTGACGAAAAATTATACAAGATGTTTAAGTAATTGTTTACTTGATGTATCAATTTGTCCTGTTGTTGCTGCTTTCATATCGCCATTAGTCAACGATTGTGAATGAGATTCAATCATCACAGTTGTTGATGATGAATTTGTTGGAAAATGTGAAGAGTGATCTTGTGTATCGTTCTTTTATCATTGAAAATCAAGAAACCTCAATTAAAAGACATTAATAGTAGATTATTATAATTCATATTGTATGAGTAGAATATTCTGGAGTAGATATGAATGAATGGAAGATCTTTACAATTGTGAAGTTTATTTGCCTACGATAGTATTTCAACAACAACTTGATAAGCTTTGCCCAATAAGGTGACTAGGACCAGTGAATTGCATATTTCGTTGAGAAAAAGTATTCTATTAACATGTGCTATTTAGAATCGTGTCGATACCTACTTGAGGAATGAACAATTTTATTGAAATATGATGTGAGATGAATCGGCTCTGAAAATAGCTCGAATCTGCACTTATCATGTTTTTGCGTTTTGTAAGAGTTTCAAACCATACTATTCTTTCCTTTTTCGTAATTCCAGAAGAGATTAGGCAACTTCGTTCTCGATTTTTCGAGTTTTTCAATATAAACGCAGGTAAGTGTATGACCTACACAGTTTGATTTTTTTCTACGGATACATGTCAGCAGGGCATTCTACAAAATCAAGACACTGTGAAGCAGTTTCTGATTGGATACTATACGTTAAATTTAGGGACTTCAAGTGTCAATAGATAACTGATTTTAAAAACTGACATGTGTTAGTTTCTGTTGATGGGACCGTTTAAGGCAATGTAAACTAGCGTCTAGTATCTGAAAAAAGGCTAACTCAAGACTATTCTACGAGTGAAAATCAAAAAG